GGCGCTGGGTGGCTGCGCTGGTCCTGGTGGTTTCGGGGCTCCTAACCGGGAGCGCAGAGTCGTTCCCTGAGGCGGCGGCCAGGCTATGATCGCGGGTCCCCGGAGTCCCGCTCGGGCCAACCAGAGTCCTTGTTTCAGCGTGTGCCTCTGGCCGAGCGCTCTCCTCACCACGGTCCCCCTGCGCGTTTGGCAGCGGCGCTCCCGGCGCGCCCCCTCCTCTGATGGCGGCGGAGATCCAGCCCAAGCCGCTGACCCGCAAGCCGATCCTGCTGCAGCGGGTCGAGGGCTCCCAGGAGGTGGTGAATATGGCTGTGCTCGTTCCCAAGGAGGAGGGCGTCATCAGCGTCTCGGAGGACAGGTACGGACCTCTGCCCCTCGGCCGAGGAGGGGCGGGACAGGTCGGGGGCCCCCTAACCCGCGTTGGGGGCTGTACCTCATGGTCAGCACAAGTGTAGACATGCTCCCTCAAGTTTTTATTATAATGCGCATCCTGGTGAGGCCGGTGTCCAGCTGCGCGTCGCCGCTGCGTGGCTCGGGGAAGCGGAGCTCGGACAGGGGCGTGATCTCTGGGCTTCCCAGGGGCCGGGTGACGCCGGCCGGTGCCAGGGTGGCCCTCGGGCTAACGGTATGCGGGCCACTGGACCTTGGTCCAGCTCTGAGGACCGGAGTGGGAGAGGAAGGAGCCGCCGGACCCTGCAGGTGTGTGCGCGAGGAGGATGCCCCCGGCTGCCTCTGCGAAAATAACTGAGGGTTTTGAGTGCTCTGGTACAGTTCTTAGGGCTCCAAACGGAGAAAGCAAATGCCACTCTTCTCCCGGACATTCCCACCGAATCCACATCTACTAGACACCTTAAACTGAATCAATGAGTATTGCAAGTTGTGAAAAGAGTACTTTGGGCTTCTGGCCAAAGGAAAAGTGCCTGTCCAAAGAAGCGCCTTCTCTCCTTTGCCTTCCTTTTCAGAACTTGCAAGGGACCAGTGCTGCAAATAGCTCTTGAGTTCCTTCCCTTTGCTTGCTTCCTTTCTTTTTTTGCTTTAATTTTGCTTAATTTGCAGAAGTGGAGGCATTTGTTCTGCCTTTGATATGCTCCCTTATTTGTCAGGCAAAAGGGTTTTTTATTTAATTTAATGTCCGTTAATAGTCCGTTAATATGCAGATATTAGGTTGATGAAGCTAATGTTCATAGGAATGCTGCTTGAATCTAGTAGTTATGGTATTTTCTGGAATTGTTTTGATAATGTCAACTAGTATTTTAAAAAGTTTAACACTGTAGAGGTATATGACAAGGGGCTTTAACATTAAAACAGTAGGTTTTCTTAATGTAAGTTCAAATTATGCTGAGGTAGAGAATACCCTAAAATTGTAGGCAGAGGTAAAGCAACAAAGTTTACTGTCTTTATAGTCATTTTAGCACTTTATTTACAATGTAGCCACAAAAAATTTTCCTGTTAGGTCTATTCATATCATAGGTTCTTCAGTATAACCAGGATGAATACATTGTGCTTGTCTACATCATACTGCAAACAAATGGCCAAATGGATTTATTTTCTGTGCAGATCCAATGAAAAAGATTGTAAACATACATCAATTGCAAGCAGTGTGCAATAAACAGAAGAAATTCATGGCTGAAATGGAATACATGGATGTAGAAACCTTTTGAAATTCACAAAGAAGTCTTATGAGTGTTTAATTTTTCAATAGAGGCACAATTTTATTAAAGAGATTGCTTCTGGACCTAGAAAGTCTTTTGTTACAAAATTGTTTCTAAAGGAATATAGGATAGAAGTCATTTTCTCCAGTCTAACTACTAGAGATGAAACTGTCAACCTGACTGCTGTTAGGAAATTCGTAAGTAAGTTGGCTGAATCAAGTAAAAGGAGAAAGGTAGTTAAATCTAAGTTCCTTTAATATTAGTTTTGAAACTTTTTGCTTTGGTTGATGGTTTGGGCATAGAGGTAGGCTTTCAGTCTTTTTTTTTTTTTTTTTAAACTTCAGAGGGATCTTAGAGGTTATTTGCTCTAACAACTTATTTTACATATGAGAAAATTTAGGCCAGAGAATTTACCTGCCCAAATTCATGTAGCTGGTGGTAGAGCCAAGCCTAGCTCCTAAGTCAACCTGATTCCCGTATCAGTGTGTTTATCTTGAAGGAAAAAGCTTTAGTAGGGTGCATTCAAAGTATTTGGAGAAGCTGAAGTATCATATATGAAAGAAACTTAAAGATAAATTACATTTGATTATAGAAGAAAAGCAATGTGATTTTTAGCTATATATTACCTTAATATTCACTTTCCTAATTTACAATGTAAGTAATAGAATTTATTTTATTACAGAGTTACTATTAAATATAAAGCCCATTCATAAATCCAGGATTATTCTTTATGTATATTTTATTATTACTCAGATCCAGAAGTCTGTATTTCTGTACTCACACATGAAAATAACTATGTTATTTAGAGCTCAGGTTTTTAAAAAAAATATTTTTATTGATTTCAGAGAGGAAGGGAGAGGGAGAGACTGAAGCATCAATGATGAGAGAGAATCATGGATTAGCTGCCTCCTGCACACCCCGTACTGGGGATCAAGCCCGAATCCCGGGCATGTGCCCTTGACCGGAATCGAACCTGGGACCTTTTGGTCCACAGGCTGACGTAGAGCTCAGTTTTGATTATGGTCTTCATGAAAGGAGATTGATCTGTATTCTTGCTTTTCAAAATCTAATATCACTGTCACTAAAGATATGAAGATAGAATATTGATTTTTATCTAAACCTGCAAAGCCATTTTCATTAACTGCTTCAGCCAGAAACTAGTTGTTTCATTCCCAAACTGTAAGGTTAAGACACAGATAATGTCCCATTCCTGAGTGGCAGTGTCTCATAACCCATAAGTTCTTTTGAAACCCTGGTTTCCTTTTTGACTTCAGACTCCTGATAGCCTTTATCTATACCTTTGAAAACATTTAAAATTTTTCTGTTTTAAACAGTATTATAGGTACTTGTCCATTATCTTCTCCATAAGTTCCCTAAGGTGCTATGTGCATTTTTTTTTAAAGAAAAATTGATTCTTTAATAATCAATGCTGGGAAAACCAGTTAGTCATTTGGATAAAAAAAATAAAGCTCAATGTCTGGGGGGGAGAACCAAGATGGTGGCATAGGTAAACACCTGTACTTGCTGCCTCTCACAACCATATCAAAACTACAACTAAAAGATAAAACAACAATCATCCAAAACCACGGGAAAGCTGGTTGAGTGGAAGCTCCACTACTAGAAGGAAAGAAAAAAGTGCATTGAGACTGGTAGGAGGTGTGGAGGTGCGGAGGTGCGTGCGAAAAGGATATGAAAAAGGACCAAGCATACAGTGACTGAAATAAAGAATAATATACAGAAATTCAAAAGTAGACTACAGGATCCCAAGAATCAAGTCAAAGATTTGAAATATGAAGAAGCAAAAAACACCCAACTGGAAAGAGCAAAAAGAAAAAAGAATCCAAAAATACGAAGATAGTGTAAGGAGCCACTGGGACAACTTCAAGCGTACCAACATCCGAATTATAGGGGTGCCAGAAGAAGAGAGAGAGCAAGATATTGAAAACCTATTTGAAGAAATAATGACAGAAAACTTCCCCTACCTGGTGAAAGAAATAGACTTACAAGTCCAGGAAGCACAGAGAACCCCAAACAAAAGGAATCCAAAGAGGACCACACCAAGACACATCATAATTAAAATGCCAAGAGCAAAAGACAAAGAGAGAATCTTAAAAGCAGCAAGAGAAAAAAAGTCAGTTACCTACAAGGGAGTACCCATACGACTGTCAGCTGATTTCTCAACAGAAACTTGGCAGGCCAGAAGGGAATGGCAAGAAATATTCAAAGTGATGAATACCAAGAACCTACAACCAAGAATACTTTATCCAGCAAAGCTATCATTCAGAATTGAAGGTCAGATAAAGAGCTTCACAGATAAGGAAAAGCTAAAGGAGTTCATCACCACCAAACCAGTATTATATGAAATGCTGAAAGGTATCCTTTAAGAAGAGGAAGAAGAAGAAAAAGGTAAAGATACAAATTATGAACAACAAATATGCATCTATCAACAAGTGAATCTAAGAATCAAGTGAATAAATAATCTGATGTACAGAATGAACTGGTGATTATAATAGAATCAGGGACATAGAAAGGGAACGGACTAACTATTCTTGGGGGGAAAAGGGGTGTGGGAGATGCGGGAAGAGACTGGACAAAAATCGTGCACCTAGGGATGAGGACAGTGGGTGGGGAGTGAGGGCGGAGGGTGGTGGGTGGAGGGGAGTTATGGGGGGAAAAAAGAGGGAACAACTGTAATAATCTGAACAATAAAGATTTATTTTTTTTAAAAAAAGAGAGTATACTCAGGAGCCAGTCTGCTTGAATTCAGAATCCAGCTGTGTGTCATACTTTGAAGAATCTGGAACATTATTATCTCCAGATGAATAACTATAATAGCGAAAATTCACAAAACCTCTGGGTGCAATAATTTGGAATTTTTTTTTGGATAAAAGGCCCTGAGGAGGTGGTGGTGGGCTATAGGGGAGGAGACTCTGGGGAACTACCTCCTTATATTCTGACCATATTCAGTACCAATTTATGCAACATGGCTGTACTCTGCAAGCCTTGAAGGCAGGCAGAACCTGCAGGTAAAAGGGAGTGAGATTTTTTTTTCCTCCTATAAATTGATCTGATCCCCAGTGCTAAGCACAAAGGAGATAGGCAATATATGTCCATTGAATGAAATTAAACACCGGCTGATTAATCATCTGTTTGGAATGGGATTCCAAAGGAGAATGCCACAATTAGCCTAGGAATTCCCTAATGCAAAAAAAGTAACTTTCCTTGTGCAACTTTAATAAGCACTCTGACTAACTTTTATTTTTAAGGGCAGGGGGCATCCTCATTCAAACATTTCATTTAGTCATTAGTAAAAATTAACTCAGTGGTGTAATAAACTAGCAAATAGGACCAAAAAGGAAAAAAAAAGTCATCTACTTGTCTCCTGGCAGGGAGTGCTGCAGTGTGCCGTGTGCCTTTAATTTAAGGATTCTTAGAAAAGAACTGGGACTGGGAGTCTGATTTAGCTGTATACTACATTGACCTTGGACATTTCCTAGGGCATCTCATCACTCTAAGCCTCAGTTTCTTCATCTAACAAAGGAGGGCATAGCATTTCTTAGCTGTGACTCTGTCACTGTGATTTGTTCACATAATGACTAGGTAAGTGTAATGTCTCTGCATCACATCATCCTAAAACCTCAAGTGGAGAAAAGTGCACAGAGGGCAGAAGTGGTGCGCACTTTGTGAGGCAATTGTAAGATGTATT